AGTGCTTCAGGTCTTAATGAACTACCCTGCAGGGTGGAATGTTTCTCCTTCCCTTAGACCAGTGATCCCTTTGGGGGTCAAATGACCCTTTCACAGGGGTCCAAGACCATTGGGAAACACAGATATTTACATTATGACTCATAACAGTATCAAAATTAGTTATAAAGAAGCAATGAAAATAGTTTTATGGTTGGGGGTCACTACAACATGAGGAACTGTGTCAAGGGTCACAGCACTGGGAAGGCTGAGAACCACAGTCCTAGAGCATCTCATCATTTCTCTTCCCTTTCTGCATCTGTGCCTTAAGAAGTTTCCTTCTGCTGGGCGATGGTGGCGCATGCCTTTAATCCCAGCGCTCAGGAGGCAGAGGCAGGAGGATTTTGTGAGTTCGAGGCCAGCCTGGTCTACAGAGACAGTTCCAGGACAGCCAGGGATTCACAGAGAACCCCTGTCTCAAAAACAACAAAGGTACAAAGATGTTTCCCTCCAAGAGGGGGATATAAGAGGGTACCTGCACTCACATGTACATACACACACACACACACACACACACACACACACACACACACACACACTAAAATTAGATTAGAAAACTCCCCTCTGGAAAGAGGTACAAACCTCAGGAAGTATCTGATAGGTTGGTTTGAGTCACGTGTCTCTCTGGTCTGTTTTGGCTTGCAAGTGAGTGTCAGGTTCTGATTGGCTCCCTTGGATCACAAGCATCTTGTGGAACTGGAACTGGGGTGCGCAGGTGTAGGAGCCTGACTTCCTATCCCAGACCCCTAGGTCCTGGGGATTGGGGCAGGGATGATACCCGTGGGGTTGGGGGGCCCTCCAGAGCAGGTATTTGTCTTCTTGTCGCCAGGATAACCCTTTCCGCCAGAGGATTGCACAGGTCTTCTCTCAAGATGGGGATGGTCACATGACCTTAGAGAACTTCCTCGATATGTTCTCAGTGATGAGTGAGATGGCTCCCCGGGACCTGAAGGCCTACTACGCCTTTAAGATTTATGGTGTGTGGGGCCCTGGGGTGGGGACCAGACAGAGACCATCTAATGCTCATATCCCCAGGGACTCCAATGCCCACACAGCCCTGGCCTTCATATTCCAGCCACATTAGGTTCATCCTTTCTTGAATTTATCAAATGCTTCTAGCCTCAGGACATTTGCTTTTGCTGTGCTCTCTGCTTGTAACACCATCTACAGCCCGTTACTGGGGAGCCTATGCAGGGACTCCACCCCTGAGCCACGCTCCAACCCCTCACTGGGGATTCTAGGCAGGGGCCCCACCCCTGAGCCCGCCCCCAGCCCCTCACTCTGGGGATTCTAGGCAGGGGCTCCACCCTGAGCCATATCCCCATCTGTCTCTTTTCAGAGTGCACATAGGTGTTCGGTATTTTCTGAATGAGGGCATGTGGAATAGCAGCACTTCCTCAGGGCCTGGCCCATAACAGGCACTCAATAGGCAAGCGAGTCAATGAAGAACAGCAGGCACTCAGGAAAACCTGTAAAACCCTCCCAGGCCCCAACAGCTCACAGACTCCATAGGTGATGATCCACTCGTGCTCCTGGGCATGTCCTGGGTGTCCCTGTCCCAGTCACGTCTGCTGTGAAGGTCATCAGGAGCACGTGCGGAGCTCATGCGTGGGCGCAGGTCTAAACATTTAAAACACCCTTTCACATACTTTTAGCATGTGTGGCGGAGTTGATGAATGACAAATCACGACGACAGTGGCTGTAAAGTCAGTGAATGAATAAAAAGCAGCTATCGCGATGCCCGGTAAACAGTTCATGCTTAGTACTTGTTAGATGAATGAATGCAAAAAAAAAAAAAAAAAAGAAAGAAAGAGAGAAAGAGAGAAAGAAAGAAAAGAAAGAATTAACACATATGCCACACAGTAGGTACCTAGTAACTATTTCTTAAATGAGTGGACATGGTGCCTGACACACAGTGAGGGCTCTGAAGGATGGATAGATGAAAAGTTATCCCAACAGGTGGCAAACAGAAGGCACTCAATAAATGCTTGCTTACGTAAGGGAAAATCAGTCATCATGGTGCCTGACATGTAATGAGTGTCGTATAAGTAAGAGAAACAGTAGTCACAATGGCTGGGATTGCTCTCAGTGCCTGGGCGTCCTCTGGCCGCCTGTTCTCCCCAGCCCTACTGTTGGCCTCACCTCACAGACTTCAACAATGATGACTACATTTGCGCGTGGGACCTGGAGCAGACGGTGACCAGGCTCACCCGTGGGGAGCTGAGTGCTGAGGAGGTGACCCTGGTCTGTGAGAAGGTGCTGGATGAAGCAGACAGCGACCATGATGGGCGGCTGTCCCTGGAGGACTTCCAGAACATGATCCTGCGGGCACCAGACTTCCTCAGGTGCAGGTTCAGACCCAGGGATGAGAATTCCTGCTGCACTGTCTGAGACCTCAGGGAACGACCCCAGATTCTGTGGCTTCAGCCCACTTTGTCCAAGGACCATAACCAGGAGGCTGCGGGCATCTGTGGACAGAAGCAGTGTATCTGTCACCTGCCACAGTTTTGCTGTGAACTGTCACACAGCTGTCCTCGGCATCCTGGAGTAGGGTCAGAGCCCCGACTGCAGGGCTGGGAGTGGGGGGCATGGCTGCCAAGGAGCCCCGACTGCAGGGCTGGGGAGCATGGCTAACACGGAGTTGGTAGACTCTGTGGCCCAAGGCCACATCCATCCTTTGTTTGTTTGCTTGGTTTGCTGTTTCTCAGAAAGTGTCTCACTATTTAGACCTGACTGGCCTGAAACTTTCTAAGTAGACCAGATAGGTCTTGAACTCACAGAGATCCACTTGCCTCTGCCTCCCAAGTGCTGGGATTAAAGTCCGGTGCCATCACTTTAAACCTAAGCACTTAAGTTTGTCAGAGTAATAAACTGGTGTTCAGAGAGGGCCAATAGCCAGTCTGGGAAGGAGCTGGGATGTGACTGCTTATCCAGACAGGTGCTTAAAATTCCCATGGAGATCTGGTCATGGTGGCAGACATCAAGTAGCCGAAGCACCCAGAAGTCTGAGGCAAGAGGATTGTTGTGAGTTCCAGGATGCCAAACTACAAAATGAGACAAGGTCTTCAAAACCCAAAGCTGGCCGGGCGATGGTGGCACATGTCTTTAATCCCAGCACTCGGGAGGCAGAGGCAGGCGGATCTCTGAGTTCGAGACCAGCCTGGTCTACAGAGCTAGTTCCAGGACAGGCTCCAAAGCCACAGAGAAACCCTGTCTCGAAAAACCAAACCAAACCAAAACAACAACAACAACAACAACAAAAAAAAAAAACAACCAAAGCTAACCAAATGGAAAACAGGTCTGGAGGCTGGTGAGAGGGCTCAGTGATTAAGGGTGATTGCTGCTCCGACTGAGACCTGGGTTCAATTCCCAGCACCCACATGGTGGCTCACAACTGTCTGTAACTCCAGATCCAGAGGACATGACGCTCTGCTCTCTTCTGGCCTCTGCAGGCTCCTGCATTTAACATGCTGCATATACACAGACCCAGGCACACTCCACACACACACACTCACACACATACATGCATGTGCATGCGCACACACTCACACACAAATAACAAATAAATAGATAGATGTTTTAAAAACATAATATGGAAGCCACCTAAGGGATGACCCCGATGTTGACCTCTAGCCTAAGTCCCATGGGGACTGTCTGCGATTTCTAGGGTGTTCACATTTCTGTGAATCCCTGCTTGCCCCTAGGGTCCCAGTGTCCATTGGGAACTCTCAGTGACATCTTTCCTTCCTCACAGCACCTTCCACATCCGCATCTGACAGCACCCGGAGGACACAGCTGATCCTTCCCCATCTCCACCTGACTCTCTAAATAAACAGGAATCAAACCTACCTCGGCATCTTTGCGTTTTCCTGTGTGGCCACACCCACTCTGGGTTACCATTTTCCAATCATAAAACAGATTGGCTTCTAGACCTCAAGGCCTAGAGGAGCAGGAACTTCACAGTTAACATACAGAGGAAGTCCAAGGCAACGCCATAGCTCCTTTCCAGAGGCCAACTTGAGCCCTTGAGACAAGGTTTCTCGGTAGCTTTGGTGCCTGTCTTGGAACTAATTCTTGTAGACCAGGCTGGCCTCATACTGCCTCTGCCTCCTGAGTGCTGAGATTAAAGGTGTGTGCCACCACCTCCCGGCTCACACCTCCATGTCTTGTGAATTTCAGGAGCCCAAGGTTGTCCCTGGGTCTTTGTATAGGGTACCTATACATCCCACCACACAACCCAGTCACCCAGAATCTTCCCAAACCACTCACTCTGGCGATTCGAAGCATCAGGTTCTGGGGTTGGAGAGATGGCTCAGGTATTAACAGCACCTGCTGCTCTTGCAGGGGACTTGGTCTCTATGTTGGGTTCCAGGAGCCACGTGATGGTGGCTCTCAACTGCCTGACCCTCCCATCCCAGCAGACCTGAGGCCTTCTTGAGCAACTGCACCTATGTGCACACACCCACCCACACATACACATCTAAAAATGAAAACAGTTATAGCTGGCTGGTGGTGGTGCACGCAGGAGGCAGCTCTCTGTGGTTCAAGGCCAGTCTGGTCTACATAGTGAGTTCCAGGACAGCCAGGGCTACCAGAGAGACCTTATTTCAAACAAAACAAAATAATAAAAATGAAAATAGGACAGGATTGATGGGGCACAACTCTAATGTTATCACCCAGGAGGCATAACAGGCGGATCTTTGTCAGTCCTGGCACAACCAGGAATACATGAGATCCTGTCTCAATTAACAATAATAGCAATGGTGAGAACTAAAAGCCCCAGGTCCTCCTTGTCTCTTTTCTGCATGCTCCTCCTGAGAAGGGACCGCTGTCTTCTCCACCTCCCAAAGGAAGACCAGAGAGGTCTACGTTCATCACAGTTCACACAGCCCTTCAGAGGCCACTGTCAGTCCCTGCCCTGTACAGGTGCCTTTGGGGGGGGGGGCATGCACGTGCACTGTGTTCTCATGCAAGTGGGCTGTTGCTCCTCAGAGGCTGTCCAAGGTGGCTTTAATTTTTTTTATAATATTATTAGGGTGGAAGAGACACACGTGTGCCACAGCGTGTGTGGAGGACGGAGGGCAGCTTGCGGGAGTCTGATGTCTCCTTCCACTGCGGGTCTGATCTCTCCTTCCACCGCGGGTCCCACAGCTCAAGCTCAGATCCTCAGGCTTAGCAGCCTTACCTGAGTCATCTCACCTGCTCAGATCCTAAGTAGGCTAACGTGGCTGAGTGTGGAATGTGGAGCCCACGGATACAGAGGGCTAACCCACGATCAGAGAGGTTGGGATACAGGCCTGGCATGTGTTTTGCCCATAAAGTCACTGTATGCTTACTACATATATGTGTCAAAACATGTGTGTGTGTCAACACATGTCTATGGAGGTCGGAGGACAACTTTCAGAGTTGGGTCTCACCTTCCATCACGTGAGTACTGGAGATCGATCTCAGGAAGTCAGGTTTGCCTGCAAGTGCCTTTACCCCCTTACTGCTGGGCCATCTCACTGGAGTCCCTAAAGCGGTGATTCTATTATTATTAGGACAATCAGGTCCTTCGGCCGGCAACTGCAGAATTCAGCCCCATAACCTCTTTCTTTAGCACAGTTCCCTGGTTGGGAGGACAGCGGTGGGGACTACCAAGACAGAGGGGATGTGTCAGTACCCAGGGGCGAAAGGCGGTGGTGGGAGGTATTCCTCAGGTAGCCAGTCCTGGGCTTCTGGCAAGTCTACAGGCTCTGATTTGGTTGCCTGAACTGACAGGGCCCTCACCAGCTTTTCCCGCCAGGCCTTGACCCCTGAGACCGCCTCCCTCCAGCTGGCAGGTCTGGAGGCTGTGGAGGTGGCTGCACCGGCACCGGCACCTGTGGAATGGTGGGCACTGTCCCAGCTGGATGCTCGAGTCATAGCTCTATGATGCTGTGCCACAGGCCTGGCGTCCTCCAGCAGGTTTGTGGTGGACAGGTGCGAAGTGATCCGCTGTTTCACCCTCCGGCTGGTCTCTGGCAGTGTCCTCAGGTTCTTCCACAGTTTCTGTTTCGCCTCCCCAAAAAGTGCTTTTGGGGAGCTGGGGGCTGATGCGAGCCTTCCATCCGTTGCAGTGGAAGGTTTCCTTTCCGGAGCCTGGAACAGGAAATGTGGAACAGAGAAAGGGAAGCCTGGGGCCCGGCTGATCAGAAAAGCTCCATGCAGCCATCCCCTCAACCTCGTCCCAGGCCGCTGGAGCTCCCAAGCCCGATACCTGCCCCGTCCTGCCTATCTCTGTGTGTGGCTTCACCATCGCTCCCAAGGTTTGGTAAATTTTCTTAAGAGTTACAGCTGGGCTGGAGGCGTGGCTCAGTGAATTTATCCAATTTGCTTCTGGGGATCGCTTCTATTGTCAGCATCTGCCCCACCCTTCTCCATTTCGGAGGGGATGTAGAAGATAGGATTATTAAGACCCCCGAGGTCCCTAGCCACAGTGGTCCATGTATTGCCTTTTGTCACTCTGTTCTGCAGACACTCTGAGCCCCAGGACTTTGCACATGTCTCCCCACTCTGGAAACACTCTCCCTGCATCTCTGTGTCTGGCTGCTCATCCTTCTCATAGTCCAGCTCCCGGAGACCTCCTCCAGGATGTCTTCTCTGACTTGCACAAACATGTCTGAACATCAGTTTGCTTCATCCCCGCCCCCATTGTTAGAACTTCCCCACCAGGCAGGAAGCCTGAAGTACAACAAGGCTTCAACCTAAAGGCCCCACTAGCTTCAAGGAGCTACAGTACATGTATCCATAATTTGCTGGGTTTTTGAGACAGGGTTTCTCCATATAACAGCCCTGGCTGTCTCGGAACTCACTTTGTAGACCAGGCTGGCCTTGAACTCAGAAATATGCCTGCCTTTGCTTCCCAGAGTGCTGGGATTAGAGGCGTGCCCCACCATCACCCAGTTCATGTATCCATAATGTATTCATTCATCTACACTGAAGATTCAATAGCCTAGCTCCTTTAGATGGTGAGGGCTGGTCGGTCCTGGGGGCGCACACCTTTAATCCTAACAATCAATCAGGAGGCAGAGGCAGGAGGAGTTTAGGCCAGCCAGGGCTACATAGAAAGACCTTGTCTTAGCAGAAACAAACAAAAAATATGCCAGGTCCTCTTGGAGGGGTGGAGACAGCAGTGCAGAATGAGCCACCTGGACTGCAAGGTTTGATGAGAGAAACAGACAGGAAACACACCTAGAATAAACAGAAACCTCTCAAGTTGGAAACTGTTCTCTGCACCGACTACACAGGGTGATACGTGTGTGGAAACTCTAGATCCTGGCAAGCGCAATGGCTCTGTGGAGGTACTGGAGGAGAACAGCACAAAAGCTTCTCAGGGTGGCCAGTGTGTCTGAATGCAGGCGGCAGCTGAGGGCCAGGACCTGGAGTTGCAGGGCTCTTGGGTGCTTCTGACTGGGCGAGGATGGGACCCCCACGAGCTGTGGAGTCTAATCCCCGAGTCTGGGAATCACCGGGAGATGTTTTTCTTTAATCACACAGCTACAGAGGAGGGCATTTTCTGGAAAGGGTCTGCTCTAGCATCTTTCTCTGCCAGTCCCCGACCCAGGTTGGAGGTGCCACCCAGGGCCTGCCTACCTCCTCTGGTGGGCAGGAAGCAGGCCTCTGGCCTTCCGTGAGGCCACCAGCTAGGCTTTCAGCGCCCTGAGCTAGGGCACTCGAGTACAGGAAGAGATTTTCGTAGTCGACGTTTGCTGGATCCTCCTGAAAGGCACGGAAGAGATATAGGGCTCAGACCCAGCAACAGGAAAGGCTGGGGTGGGGAGAACCCTCTGTGGGGGCCTCTTAAACCGACCTCAGAACCTAGGCCACGCCCACTGAGTCTCAGTGGAAGAGCCCTGCCCACAGTGTATAGGCCAAACATCATACTCAGATGAAAGAACCCAGCTCACATGGGTCTCAGATGATAGAAAGAGCTCCAATTACAGCAGACATTAGGACACGCCCATCAGCATTCAAAGAAAAGAGCTCCTCCCACAGTAGGTTTAGGCCACACTCATAATTCATAAACTGAAAGAGCCCAGTGCACATCCGGTAAGCCACGCCCACCAGCCTCAGAGGAAAGCCATTCCTGCAGAGGAACCCCTGTGAATTCCATGCAGGAGGCCTCTGGCACTCCCTGGCAGGCAGCTGGGGTCCCCTCACCCCTACCTGGCCACAGGCTTGGGTCAGCAGCTCCCCATATGGCCGAATAGGTTTCTGCTGGTGGAATGAGACCAGGGCGTCCAGAGAGGCATGGGTTGTATGGTCCCCAGCAAGGATGAAAGTCCCGTTGTCTGAGAGCTTTACCATGAAGTGACGGCAGCAGGTCTGAGCTCTGTGGAGACACTGCTGGGGTTGGGATGCAGACACTGTGCCCCGGTTTCGCCAGTTACCACACAGGACTTCCAAGGCCCACCTCAAGAGTTCTTGGTTGGATGAAATAAGGGATACAATATAATTGTGGTGCTTGTCCGTCATCCCTGCACTGGGAAGACCGAGGGCCAGGAGATGGAGGCTTGGAGGCCAGCCTGTCTCAACCAAATAGTAGTAGCAAATAATAGCAATCTTCTCATTTTAACACTATTTCATGTAGTCCAGGCTACACTGAAACTTACTATGTAGCCAAGGATGACCTTGAATTCCAGATTCTCCTGTTTCAGCTTCCCCGTGCTAGGCTAACAGATGTGCACCCCATACTACATAACAAGTTCGAGGCCAGCCTGGCTATGAAACCCTCTCCCAAATAGGGAGAAAGAGAGAGAGAGAGAGAGAGAGAGAGAGAGAGAGAGAGAGAGAGAGAGAGAGAGATTCCCTTGAATGCTTCAAGTTGCCCAAATCAGGCTTTGAGACCCAGGAGCTCATGGCACTGGCCTTCCTGACTCAGATTCATGTCACTCATTTGAAGGTGAAAGTTGGAAGGAGGCAGGGGCCACCCTCAGATTCCTGCCTATCCCACCCTCAGACACAGGTCTCAGGTCCTCCCCAGTGTTCCACGACTGCCGGATATAGCTGGCCTGCATACTGAGCAGAGCCCTCAGGCTTGAGGTGCCTTTGGCCTAACGTCCGCCATGGCCTTACTTGTAGGAAAGGGTGTAGCCCACGTGGCTGTGACTGACTCGGATAAGAAAGGTCCCTGGTGGTTGAGACTCCAGCAGGTTCTCAGCAGCTCTGGAGAGGCACACAGAAAGACTGGCTGATACGGAGACAGCAAGCATGGGGGATGGCTTAGCAACCTGGGGTTCCATTTGGCTCTGGTTATGCACGGGGCGCTCTTACAGTATTGCACTTGGCAGCCTAGCTCTCTGACCTGTCTGTCCTGTGCCTGCACCTGCACCCCCGCCCCTCTGAGCAATGCACATAGCAACCTTGGACTCCCGTGTGCATCACGCTACCTGTACTTAAGAATGGGATAAGTTTCCCACCCCTAAAAACAATCGCATTTAGTTTCTATTCAATGTATTTCCAGGATATGTAGGAGGAAGAATTGAAGGACTGATCCGAGATTGTCCAGATGGTTCCGACAAGCCTGCCGGCCCGAATTCAATCCCTGGGACTCACATGGAAGGAGAGAACTGATTTTCACAAGCTGCCCTCCAACCACCACACACATAGTAAGAAATAAAAGATAATAAAAATGTAAATATCTTATAACTAAAAAAGAACAGTTCTGACCCAGCCTCAACTGGTCTAGTGTGCATGTGTGTTCACGCAAACTGTATCCTTCCAGGTTTTTTTGGGAGAATCCTTGTTTCCCCTCTTACACCTGTGTGGGCAGGCATGTGCCCTGAGATCCAACCTGTGAGTCAGAAGGGAACCACCCACTGTCCCCTCCCTCAGCAATCTGACGCCTTCTCTTGGAGCGCACACATTTGGACCCCGCATTCGGGAGGCAGTCGCAGGTGGATCCCTGAGAGTTAGAGGCCAGTCTGTTTCCAGGGACAGCTAGGGCAGGCAAATGTGCTCTGACACATTCAGAAACCAGAGGACAGTCCTCAGAGTTGGTTTTCTCCTTTTGCCTTGTGGGTCCCAGGAACTGAAGCTGCATTGTCAGGTTTGGCTACACGCACCTTTAGCCCCGAGCCATCTGGCTGGCCCCTGTGTCAGTCTTAACAATGTAACCCTGCTAACCTGCACTATTGCTTTGCTCCCAATTCCACAATTTTGCTGCTTTTGCAAATTCCTGTGAGCCCCTAATATAAGAAGCCAACCTGGAAACACTGGACCCTGGCCCAGTAACACCAGGAAGGCCCTGGAGCTTGCAGGCCTGCACTTTCAGGTAGCTGAGGATGACCTTGAACTCGTGACCCCCCCCCCCCACTTTCTGAGTACTGGGTTGACGGTATGCCTGGTTTAAGCACATTGGCTTTGTGTACACCAGGCAAGCACTCTCCCGACTACTCAACTAAGCGACACACACTTTAGCAATCGAGCCATAGCCACAGCCTCTGAATAACCCAGTCTTTTTTGGTGGTTTGAAGTGCTGGGCTTTGGACCATGTCACTTGGAGGCTTCTGATGCTGACTCTGAAGTAGATCTCCTCCTAGCTTCCACTCCTGCCTGCCTGCAATCCTCTGAGGTCACACACAGTATCCACAGCAGAGGCTATGGTCTGCCTATGCACTGAGTCTAGAGTCCAGCTGGGCTATGCATCTGCGCATCTGTGTGGGATTCAGGCAGGGGTCTAACCTTACCTGCTCCTCAGCTTTCCGTGGCCCAGAGCGAGTGTGAGAATGATGTGAACAGGGGCCTTGCCCCAAAATGTCCACTGTGGTTAGGGGTGATGGACCAAGAAGCAGAATAAAGCAGGATGGGGTTATCACTATGTTCTTACTGTCGTGTGATGGTGCCGTGGAACCACTCTGGGATCCCGCCTTGGGCCAGCTGGTTCGCCTGGGTGTGCACAAACCAGTCCAGCCGAGGGGGCAGTGGCGGGAGCAGCTTCCAGGCTTCTGCCTCTGCCATGGCATCCAAAGAAGGGTCACCACCTGGAGGGAAGAGGGAGAGGTGGGTGCCTCTTGGCTCTAACATTGCACACACTGGTACCTGGTTTACTGGGAGCCGTCCTGGTGGCCAGAGCAAGGGCGGTTCCTGCGGACACAGACTGTTGTGTCACAGGCTGTTGCTAGGTCGCGAGTGAGTGTGAAGGAGGGTCAGGTGTCTTCCTCTACTGCCCCATACCATGGTTTTGTTTATTGATTGTGTGTGTGTTCATGGGCCACAGTATATATGTAGGGAAGTCCAGACGATTCCTGGGAGTCGGCTGTCTCCTTCCACCATGTGGTTCCCTGACTGAAATTCAGGTTTTCAGGCCTGGCAGCAAGCACTCTTTCACACTGAACCATCCCCAGCCAAACCAAGATTTTGTTGTTGTTCTTGTTGTGTTTTTAGACAGGGCTCTTTATATAGTCCTGACTGTCCTGGAACTCACTCTGTAGACCAGGTTGGCCTCAAACTCATGGGACTCCACCTGCCTTTGCCTCCCAAGTGCTGGGATTAAGGAATTTTTTTTTTGAGACAGGATTTCTCTATGTACAGCCCTGGCTGTCCTGGAACTCGCTCTGTAGACCAGGCTCTTCCCAAATGCACAGAGATCCTCTGCCTCTGCCTCCTGAGTGCTGGGATTAAAGGAATGCAGCACCACCGCCTGACCAAACTGACATATTTTTAAAGTTTTTTTTAATCTCTCTCTCTCTCTCTCTTCTCTGTGTGTGTGTGTGTGTGTGTGTGTGTATGTGTGTGTGCATGAGCAGGTGCCTTTGGTTCCTAGAAGGCAACAGATCTCCTGGAGCTGGAATTGTGGGTGGTTGTGAGCTGCTCCATGTGGGTGCTGAGCACTGAACTGGATTCTTTAAGAGCAGTGAGTGGCTGAGACATCTCTTCATACCTCACCTTAGATTCTGAGAAGGGTCTGTCACTAAAGCTGGGGCTGGTCACAGAATTCCAGGGTCCTCCAATCCCCATTCCCAGACCCCCACCCGTGCGGGACCTTTGTTCTGCTCTGTTGTCTCCATGCCTGCTGGAAGGCAAATCTGAACTCAGGCCTTTATGCTTTATGCTCACAACAGAAGCATTTTACGGACTAAGTGGGCTCTTGGTTTAGTGTGTGAGAAGGGGTAGCCTGAAACTCACCACGTAGCCAAGGATGGCCTTGAACTTCTAACCCTCCAGCGTTTACCTCCTTAGGTGACAGCTCTTCCTGTACACTGTTAATTCACACTCGTGTTGGCTGATTTACACTCAGGGTACCACCGGGCTTTGTAGGCTGGCGACATAAAGGACGTGGTAAATACGTGTAAAACAGTATTGAGTATTAAGTTGAAGGAAAACTAGCAAAAACCTCTTCCCCGGGCTTCTCTATCACTCGTCATTCAGGCCCTAGACCTGAGCTGTGCATCCCCAACTCCAGTCCCGGAAGATGGGTTGATCCCACGAGGAGAGGTCTGTTGACATAGGGTGGTGGTGCAGAAGAAAGTGATTAACTGAATTGATTAGTGAACACTTGATAACCAAGCTGCATACTGTTTCTGTCCCCATTTCCTGTCCTTCTCTCAGCAAGGTTCCACGGAGGTGAATCGTTTCTTCCAGGCTGGGGTCTCCCCAGGATGAGGCCTGGGGTCACAGGCATCAAAGCATGTGGAATTAGAGGCAGATAGATAATCTGGGTTCAAATTCTTCCTTGCATAGCTGCTGTGTAAAGTCACAAACTTAACTGCTTGGGGCCTTAGCATCTGTCGTTAAGTGATATTTTCAGAAGGGCTGGGACAGAATGCTATATAGTCGGTACAATATATAGATGGCTTACACACCTGTGTGTATGGAAAGGCGAGAGGCAGCCTTCCTCCTTCCTTCTTCCTCCCTCCCTCCCTCCTTCCTCTCCCCTCCCTTTCTTCCTCCCTCCTTCCTCCCTCCTTCCTCTCCCCTCCCTCTCTTCCTCCCTCCCTCTCTCCCTCTCTCCCTTCCTCCTTCCTTCCTTTTTTTGAGTTATGTAGCCCAGGCTGACCTTAGTGTAGTTGAGGATAATCCTGAACTCCCGGTCCTCTCACCTACCCCTTCCAAGTCCCGGGGCGACAGCCTGCTCGACCAAGCCCAGTTTACACTTTGCCAGGACTCCAGGTATTGCTATGTGTCCATAATCCCCACACTTGGGAGGCTGAGGCAGGACTGCTATGAGCTCAGAGCTACCCAGGACTACCCTGGATTAAAAACAGAAGGCCAGATGTGGTGGCATGCACACATCCATCATCTCAGTACTTACTAGGTGGAGACAGGAGGATTAGGAACTTCTAGGCCACTCTTGAAAGTAATAATAGTGGAGCTGAAATTCTCCTATTACCTGGCTTTTATTTATTTTATTGCTTATTTGTTTTTAAAATGTTTTTATTTATGTGTATGTATGTGCTTCTCTGTGTATAGATATAAATGTTTATTAGCCACGTGTGTGCAAGTACCACTGGAGGCAGAATATGGCACTAGGTCCCTGGAGATGGAGTTTCAGGTGGTCGTGAGCCTCCCCATGTAGGTGCTGGGAACTGAACTCGGATCTTCTGCAGGAGCAGTGTGCACTCTTAACTGTTGACCCTTCTCTCCACTGTTATTCTGATATTTAAAAAATTTTAGTGTGTATGTGGGAGTGTCCATGTGCGGACACACTCATGTGCAGATAGATGTGTGCAGGCCTGCAGCTGACATCAGGTGTCCTCTTCAGTCTCTCTCCCTCTTATGTATCTAAGCAGAGTCTCTGAATGAGCCGGCAGCTTCGGGGAGTCTGACTAGCCAGCTGCCCTAGGGATCTCCTGCCTCTACCTCCCACATGCCGGGATGACAGGCGGCTCTCGCCTGCTAGGCCAGACTTTACGTGGGTGCTAGGGATCTGAACTCAGATCCTCGTGACCCTCTGCCAAATGCTTTATCGACTGAGCCATCTTGTCAGCCCTTCCCTTTTTTCTTCCATTATTCGCCCTGCTTCACAGGCCCGGACACCTGCCATGTGCTCCAGTTTTCACACTGTTCATGTAGATTGGAGTCCTGGCCCCAGGGGTGCAGCAAGCAACCCATCCAGGCTGTGTAAGTACACGCTGACAAAAATCACCCATCTCCCAGAATGTATCCTGTCATGCATGGACTCTACTTCTTTCTTAGTATAAAATATAGCTGAACCCAGTCACAAGCTGGGACAGAATTCTCTCTTTATTTCAGAACACTTCTACACATCTTTAAGACCCAATGTGAACGTCTCCTCCTCCAGCCAGCCTTCCTTCTCCCTCCCCTCCCCCGGAGCTTCCCCTTTGTTCCTTCCTCTGCTGGCTCAGGCTGGACCCCACGGAGCTGGAGGACTTTCTCTGCCTCATCCTCGTTACTTTCTTAGGACACAGGGCCAGTGGGTCGTTGGTTTCTCTGAAACAGGTCTCACTACATAGCTGAAGCTAGCCTCAAACTCATGATCTAGCCTGCCTCGGCCATCAGCATGCTGGAATGGCAGGTGTGGATAACCATGACAGAGCTTGCAACGGTTCCCTCCTCTGGTAAGCCCTTCCCGCATCTCCCAGCCCCACCTCACCCAGTGCTGGAGCCCCAGAGGTTCTGCAGCTGGGGAATGTTGGGATGCAGGGATGCCAGGATTCTGGATGCTGGGTTCAGTATGCAGGATACTTACTGACCTTGGAGAGCCTGGGCTGTGTTCCGCAGGACTCTTGAGCAGCCGCTAGAGCCCAAGTTTCGCTTCAGGGTCTGCACGTCAGAGGGGCAGGGCGGCAGCCCCAGGCAGTTCCTGTTTCCTCCAGCAGGTGAACCAGGGCGGGACCAAGCTCAGGGCTTGTGTCTGTGTGTCTGTAGCTGAAGATGATACTGGCTCCTGCCACGCCTTTGCTCAGCTACCAGCTCCTTGGAACCCCCAAGACAGTTGCAGCCCCTTTTGAAACAGTCTCACGTACCGCAGGTTAGCCTGGAACTTTCTATGTAGCTGAGAATGACCTTGAACTAATGATCCTCCTGCCTCCACTCCTCACTGCTGACAGTGGAATCCAGAACTTAGTTTGCTAGGCAAGCACTCTGCTAACGGAGCTGCGTTTCCCGCCCTTATTGCAGTCCCAAAGATCAGGAAAGGGGCCAGTAGGGACTGCTTGGTGGGTATGGGGTGCAGGAACAGTGTGTAGACAGGGATCAGCATGTGCCAGAGCCCTGAGGCTGGACAGAGACATTGAAGGACAGACTCTCACTCTCACACAGCTCTATCCTGGCTTCCTTTGCAAACACACCTGAAATGACTTTCTCCGATCACGGCCTTCTAGGCCAATGTGAAGCCTGATGGCTCAGGTTTATAGTCCCAGCATTCAGAAACCCGAGGCAGGAGGATTTGGGGTTCCAGGCTAGCCTGGGCTACAAAGGGAGACTGAAACTCAAAATCCAAACAAAACCAAAGTACAAAAACAAAACCAGAGTATCCATCTATTTTATTTTGTTTGATTTTCTAAGACTGGGTCTCCTGGAGCCCTACCTGGCCTGGAACCCACTATATAGCTGAGGCTGGTGCAAAGCCCTGCTCTTCTTGCCTACACCTCTGGAGGCTGGCATCACAGGTATTACCATATTTTCTGTGGTAGTGGAGTGGGACCCTGGGCTCCATTCACAATAGGCAAGTACCCTGCCAACCGAGCACAGGTCCAGTCTATGCCTGAGTCCTCTTCTGACTTTAAAATGAACCGAAACATTGTGTGTGTGTGTGTGTGTGTGTGTGTGTGTGTGTGTGTGTGATCCTGTGCATACCCCGGGTCCTGTGCCTAACAGGCAAAGCTGACAGGGCTGTGAGCTCCTGCCCCACCCTCTCTCGACTCTACACCAAGGGGCAAAGCTGCTTTCTCCTCTCTAGGGAGATACTTTCTAAGATGGAGCTGGGAGCCTGCAGTGTAGGCTTGGGAGTCTTTGAGTTGACAAAGGCCCAACAGAGAAGGAAACTAGTGCTGGTCCCATGATGGAGCCACTCAAGCAATGGGCCCAGGGGCTCAGCTGAGTCAGCTCATTGGGGTGTTACTGTAGCTTAATTCGGTGCCTTTTGGCTTGGCTTCGGGTGAGATGGGCTCCGATTTCACTGGCTGGACCAACCTCTCTGATCCTCCTCATGCCTGCTTGCTCTGGGGTGGTCCCCAGCCTCCATGGTG